CGAAAGTGCGCGGCTCTCATGTTCTACCGTTAATTATACTATACTTTTTCTTGAAAAATTCAATAATTTTAACTGAATGTCTACGTGTAAAAATAAATAAATTTGGTAAGAACAACTTGTGTTTATAGTTAGTTAATCTCATTTTCATTTTGTGATTATTCATTACATATTATAGCAATTATAGCAGGGACAATAGTCACTGTTGAGCATTTCTTGACCAAAAGTGTTCTTTTTATATACAAGTATCAGGATTTAGGCCACTAGTCAGTGGTGTATGCAGCATGTGGGGTAGGAAAGGGGGCCATCCTTCCAAGCCGGCCCCAGACCTCTCACATGCTTGCTACACAGTGGACAGATAACGCCGTGTAAAACTAGATCGCAGTACTTGAGGCCACTTCGAGATCTCACTCATGAAGCTGCGGGTGGTTGGAGGGCGCCACTGATTGGTCCAATTCATTTTTTTCCCTTCTGTGTTTTCTGTTCGCCTGTCTTACTTTTCACAAGCATTTAAATGGCCATTATTAGGTCGATGTGTCTCTATGTATTAAAACAAAAAAAATCCCTAGACACGGTCCATTGCCTGCTTTTACGATGACTTTAGTGCTTCGCGTACACAGTTTAAACATAATAACAATACCGACAACAAATGCGCGCGCGCGCGCGTGTGCGTGTGTGTTGTGTGTGTGTGTGTGTGTGTGTGTGTGTGTGTGTGTGTGTGTGTGTGTGTGTGTGTGTGTGTGTTACAATCAAAGTGTGAGCGTCTGTCGTTTCACACAATGACTAAAACTCCTGGTCATTTCATGAAAATACTGAAACTAATGGTTGGTGATTTCATGAAATGACTGAAAGTTTTCTATGTGGTAAATGATTGAACAAAAAAAAACTTTAAAAATTAAAGTTTAAAACCTTTTAATGAAAGTAATGATACTTTTGTCAGTGGTTGGGAATTAAAAACCTTAAAATTGAAAATGTTATATCACATTTCAAATGCAACAAGTAGATTGCTATTTGTAAGAACAGCTCAAACTGTTGTGGCATAGGCTTTTGCAGACAAGTTGCACTTTGAAAGACTTGCATCTTTTCATTTGACATTTAGCCTGACCATAACACAAGCATTGCACAAAACCCTGCCCTCCAGATATCGACATTTGAATCACAGGATGTCTTAGAGAAATCTCAGTTTCCTGGATAATGTCATTGTCGCTCAGAGGCCGCTCGGGACAAACGTAAAAACTGTGATTACGGGAATATCTGCCTTTGAGAACACCCACTCCTTTTAGCTATCCTGTAACTGTTATTATCATCGCGACTCATAAAAAAAACCAAGAATGTTTCACGGATCATGACGTCCTCATCCACTAATGGAATCGGCTCAGCAACATTGTCTCATGTTTCGCCAAAAACAAGTTCAACTCTGCTACGCTTAACCATTCGTTCTGCTTGGTCAGTTTGTGATGCTCAAGCTGCCAACCGTTGGTTGATAATGTCGGATTGTCGCTGGTCAAGTTGGTCAGTTGTAGGAGGCTGATGGGTAGGCGTGTTGCTCGTCGATCGATGGTTGCGATACTGACTCGTCACTTCTGGATGGTGGTGTTTCTTCAGATTGTGTCGTTTCTGGTGGAGCTAGAGTTGCAAGCAAATCTTGTTCTGTCTCTAGTCGGATGATCACTTCGGTTGGTAGCGACGTTGAAGTTAGTCCGACAAGCATGTCTTTGATGCTCGTAGATCACTGTTGGCTCCCTCAACAAAGCCTTGACTCTGAGGGTGTTGGGGTTTGCCATTAACGCGATCCTCTGGCTCTGAAAATACGGGGGCGGTAAACTCAGAATCATACTCCGATTGGAGAACAACTGGTGTGCCTATCCAAAAGAAGATATCAGCAAAGATGGAATGCTACCTCAGTGACTTGTTTCGATGTAAGTGGTCGTAGAATGCAGAATTTGGTCAAAGGGCCTCTGTACACCAAGATCCATTTAAAACTGTTGCACAGACTGCTTGTCGACCAGGTCAAGCTGTCCTCTGAATGCAAACTCGGTCGTCAGTACCGGTTTCACAACCACTCCCCTGGTCGTGGAACTACCACATTTAAGAATTTCATACTTGTTGAGAAGATACTATTCAAGGCGGGACTTCGTCTTTGAACAGTCTTTTTAAACATCTTGAGTTACACAAGTTGACTGACATTAGTCAGACTGTGAATAAAATGTTACTCAATTTTTAGTCATTTCATAAATGACAAGGAATTTTTGTCATTTCGTGAAACGACTGACACTCACAGTCATTTCATGAAATGACTGATAATTTTAGTCACTTCACGAATTTAATGACTGAATTCACAGTTTGACTGTAACATATATATATGTATATATATAGGGCTACTATATATCTGTTTGGTTTAGATTAGTTGGGGTTCTTTTTTTTTGTTTCACCGGGGGTATTTCTTTTTTTAAAAACAAGAACAATTTCAAAAGAATAAGTGATTTGAGTATAATGGAGAGGTATACATATAAATGGTTTAATTTTATAATAATCTAGGATAATGGCACATACATGACAAGTACATACACGTATACAAAAATTCTAAAAAGCACCACTGAGCACGTCCGTGCTGCTCAGTAAATAGTGTTACGTATGTAACATAAACAAGGAAAACTTTCCACCATTTAAATAGTAGCGATTGAAATGTCATTTGAAAACAATACAAACATTATAGCACAGGGATCTTAGGGTGTCATTTGAAAACAACATCACCAGTATAATAAAACATAGTGTCATTTGAAGGCAATACATAAAACGTCCGTCTTGAATTCACAATCATAATTAAATTCCACTTCAATTTGTTTTGAAAGATTAATGGGTTTTGTCATTTGTTTTGTGTGGCACTGCTCATACTTTTCATAAAACTGGTTTATTGGTCTAGCCCCCC